CTGAAAGAGACAAATAACTCTCATGAATATTTCAGCTCATCACCAGAGGACACAATAAGGTGCACATTTAGATCTAAATACTGAAATTCATTACTGTCATATTGATTCTTATTAGGCATCTGGGATGAGACACTGATTTTGCAGGAGGAAAAGCCACTAAAATTGACCTGCATGATTGGATTGTGTCATTTTTTATTACCACTTCTGCTAGGCGTATTTAGCCATAATTTATTTTTATTTTTATTTATTTTAAATTGAATATAGTTTCTATTCAGTAAATACCCTGATTTCCACAGACACACTTGTGGATTGCACAGAGGCCTGACCTCTGCATGTTTATTAGCCTTTTCCTGGACCTGATCCACAGAATTATCCAACAGAATTCAAATGTCCTCCGCTGCTGGCAGCACTCCCAGCTACCAGGAAGCAAACCCTCAAACTATCCCACACAAGGAATGCAGTCCGTAGGGATGGCTCAGGCTCCAAGTCAGCCCTGCCCAGAGCCTACACGGATGTCCCCACACTCACAGCTGCTGCTCTGAAACGCTGTCACAAACATAAGGGGAAAAAAAATCCAACTTGCTTTTTGCATTAAAATGAAAGAAAAGCAATAAACAGTTATATCCTGGTCAAGTTTTACTTGTGCAGAATAAATTCAAATAAATGCTTTGGGGTTTTTGTAAGCAATTGAGGGGAGGAAAAAATCCTTCACGTGACCTCTAGGGCTGATTGTTTATTTAAATGTGTGTTTCTTCACCAAGAGTAAACCTCAAAGAAAAGAAACATAACAAGTCTTTGTTCCTCAGAGTCTTTTCAGTTTTTATGTCTATAGTTAAAACTTACAACTGAAACACAGTTCATAAAGGGTATTTATGTATACACCCCATTTGGCAAAACTGGTCTGTTAAACCCTTTTTCACTCAACCACAGTGATGGGGAAAAGTTTCAAGATGTCTGTGAAGACTACAGAAAAAAAAAAGGTTTAGATTGGATTCTTACCTCATTTAGTGACTCTTTGTTGTTACTGTTGTTCCATTGTGAGCAGGGATAATAGGTGCAGGAAAATCAAGTTCAGGGGCATCAAAAAAGTATGCCTACAGTATTATTACAGAGGAGAAAAAGACTGTTCAGAGAGAAACAAATAGTGCTGTGTCATCCCAGCTCTTTCTTTCCACATCCACATCCACATTCACAAGGTACAAACACAGCACTGAAGTGGCACGTTTGTATCTTTTTCTGTTTTTCTCAAATTAAAAACGGTCAATTAAAATGGTGCACTAAACGGCACTTTTAAATATAACAGTTAGCAGCCAAGGCCTTTGAAAAAGGCCTGCACTGGAAAGGATTCGACTGCACATGTAAGGAGAGATGTGTTTTGCTGTCATTCCCCTGCACACTGGGGGGAATCAAATCTATATAACCTCAAAGCCAGGGGAAACAGAAACAAAGGCTGGATGACACCAAACTACCCACTGCAATGAAAAGACAAATAATTTAAATATTCATAATTGTGTATTTCAGTGGCATCAGGGGCTTCTGTTTTATGACCCTTACTTTACTAAGGTTTGTGTATGAAAACATAAACCTGCTACAAAACTTGTAAGCACACACTTTATACTGACCATTTAATCATTTTAAAGGACTAGCATAGTGTTCATTGAAATAAACTGCAACTGGGTAGAATAGAGATTAATGCTTTGCATTAAATTATGATGAATCCCAGGTAAATTCAAAACTGTTTTGTGAGAGTTGGACTTGATTATCCTGATGGGCCCCTTCCAACTTGGGATATTCTAGCATCTATCACTGACTACTGAACTTATTACCAGCACTGTCAGGGTCAGATTGGCATCAATTTTTGCTACGTTTAAAACAATTGGAGCTTTTACTTTCGAGGTTTTTCACAAGTACTATAACCAAAGGTTTTCCACTGACCAGCCAACTGTTGGGGACCTAGGCAGCCAACCCCTCCTTCCCTGTACCAGAACATGTCACCAGTCCCAGGACATAACAGTTTGGGGAAAAGGAAAGGCAGTGTCCTACCAAACAGCCAACAGCCAGCAGGGCATGGAGCAGAAGGATGGTGCCCACGGTGGCCAGCGCAATCCTCCGGTTGTCATCTCGGACAGCGGGCCAGAAGGTCATCACCAAAACTGACCCTGACAGGCACAGGGAGAACACCACCAGCACCCAGCGCACCACCTTCTGTGGAATGATCCACAAAATCTGCAAAAAGGGAGGAAAAGGACTGTTGAAGAGGCTGTGTGAAATGGGGATTCATTTATTTAACGCATTGTTCTCTGACATTTCATCACTTCCAGCCAATTTGTGCACAAATTAACTCGTGCCTTATCTGACATGTCTTTATTTGAGGAAACAATAACAGCAGTGATGAGCTTTACACCCAGACGTGACAAGAGTGTGTCCCCTGAGTTAAGGCACTCCCTCCAAGGCTTTTTTCCCTTGCCAGAGTGGCCCAGAATGGTCCCTGCCAGGGAAACTTGTCCTTGGAGCCATCCTGCACACTGATGTCTGTTCCCTGGGGACACACAAATGCCAATTCCTGAGGCTGCCTCGGGCTGTCTGCCACGCTCACCAGCAGCATCTTACTTAGATTTGTTGCCTCTGGGGCAACAACCTGTCCTGGGCTTTTCCAGCGTGCACAAGACATTTTTCCACTAAATAAACTTCAACAAAAAGAGAAAATGATTTGCCTGGTCCCCAAGATTTTGACAAATATCAACAATAAAATAAAAACCAGCAAATCTTCTCAACCAGGACATGTAAGGGGTCACTCTTCAGCCATACGTACCGCTGTGGGAATGTAAATGAAGAGGGAGTAGCCATATACACACACTATCTCCAGGAATGAATAGGAGACAATGTTCATAACTTTACTGTTCCTCCACATCAGGAATCCCCAAAGAGCAAGGGGAACGAGCCAAGCATATGCATAAATTGTTGTTGCTGCTATGGACACTGCAAATACGACAAAAGATTTAATGTCCTACTTGAAATCCAGACAGAATCAAAGGTGTAGAAGCATTCAGTCTCAAAACTAGAAAGATACTTGTGAAGTTACTTTCAAAACATAAAGTTTGAATTATTAATAAACAGAGAACTTTGCATTTACATCTAGTTTACACCCACTACTGTGCCAGCACTTGAACTTAGTTTAAAAGTAAAACTTGAGAAAGTATTCCTTTCATATTTTCAATTTCTTTATTATCCCTGAGTACAAAATGCTGTCAGTAACAGTGTGAAAGGAAGAGCCATGGAGGAAAGAAAAGCTTAAGTTAAAAATAGAAATTCACTTACTAACAGCTAGTGTCAAATCTGAAATTATTAAAGTGACTGCATTCCCAAGTGGCAACATTCTTCCAAGTACACTATGGATTTTGGAAACAAACAGAAGCCCTGTTCCTTTTCAGGGACAGCAGTCTCCTTCGTAATACAAAGACAGATACAGACAAACTGCCTCCTCACTCTTCAGTTCTTTGGGGCACAGATCAGTTGAGCATCTTTAGCTTATTTTTGAGTTTACCAGACCGTAACAATTTCCAGCCTTCAGTAGGTGATATGGGTAATTAATTTAGTAATTTTCTGCCTGAGGTCTGCAGGTTCCTAGGAGGCCACAGATCCAGAAAGGCACCTACAAAAGCACCATGCTAGCGAGAGCTGGGCTTTCACTCTGTATGAGGGGACATCCACTAAGACGAGAAAATAACTGCTCTAATTACTCCTGCTTGCTCTACTAAAACCCTCTACTAATTTATACCAGTCACAGCCCACTGTATGGACTCGTTTCACATCTCTAAGAATTTAAAGACAGCAATAAAGCAAAGCTGTGACCTGTTTACTTCATTAGCACATAAAAACCCAAAACTAAACAAACATCCAAAACCAAAAATCCAGACCCACAAACGACCACTTACAAACCTTTTCTGAACTCAGGCACGTAGTGATATGTGGGTTTGCCCAGATGGATGAAGAAATTCGAGAGATTGCCACTAACAGCAATGGTGAAGACGAGTGTGGCACATATCCAAAAGGGACCTGAAAAGGAAACAAGTTCAATAACAACTCCTCTGCCCTCCTGCTTTTCAAGGCTAGCAAGTAAAAAGAAATACAAACTTGAAATATTTAGCACAGAGAAGAACACCTCGTACGTACCATAAAGGTCGGGATTGCTGCGGATATACAGCCTTACAAAGTTCTTCCCTGGCACTGGGAACACGGAACCTTTGATTCTGTCCAGGACCTGTAAAACATACGGACTTGTCTGACTGAAAATACAAGAAAGCAAAAAACCTCAGTAGCTAAGGCATAGTTCAGAAAAGTTCTCCTCTGGAGCAGAGTATTAACCTGGTACGTGTCCACATCGAAGAAGGTCTGGTAGTACTCAAATGTCCAGAAAGGGGCACTTTTCTTCTGTCCTGCAAGCAGCTGTATGGTGGGAAAGGCAACATGGAAAATGTTACAAGCAAGCAATTTATGCATTACTAGCTCATTTACACAGTAGTTACATGATTTCTGTACCCAAAGAAAAACCAAACTTAACAGGGTGGTGCTTCCTATAAGTTATTTAATGGTTTCCCATTCCCTATTTAATATTTGTCAGCAGCTAGTCTCTTATCTCCCTGCAAGCAGAATCTGGCCTGGGGTTCTAAAGAGTAGCCTGATGCTTCTTGCTGCCACATCATCTGTAACACACGCCCTCATCAGCATCACAAGTTCCCTAGCTATCACAGAATCACAAAATGGTTTGGGTTGGAAAGGACCTTAAAGCTCATCTCATTCCAACCCCCTGCCATGGGCAGGGACACTAGACCAGGTTGCTCCAAGCCCCATCCAACTTGACCTTGGACACTTCCAAGGCTGGGGCAGCCACAGCTTGTCTGGGCAACCTGTGCCAGGGTCTCACCACCCTCCCAGGGAAGAATTAGTTTCTAATACTTAATCTAAACCTATTGCCAGTTTGAATCCATTCTCCCTTGTCCTGTCACTCCCTTTTCTAGGGCTGAGCATTACCTCTGTTTTATCGGAGTCGTCAGTCCCCAGTAACTCGTCATCCTCTTCCCTCCCTGGCTCCTGCAGGTGGCTGTGCTGGTTCTTGGGGACTTCAACTGGCTCATCGATGCTTATGGTGGTGGCATCAGGATTTGCTGCAAGCAAATTAGCTGCATCGTCAAATTCTGCAAACAAGTACATTACAAGACAGGCGATGATCAAGATACTAAAATTTCTCTTCTCATGGCTCAAAACCCCCCATTAGGACCCTGAGATAGGATAATCACTAGCTTAGGCATGTCAGATATGATCTCTTTCTCAAAGTGACACAGATCAAGCTGAACATTTACTTAGTCAATAAAGTGTGAGGCTGCCTTTCCTGCCCATCTGCCTGCAGGATGACACACCGGCACCCCTGGAGCTGCCTTCCCTCCCTGCCATCAGGTCCCTGCAAGGACAGGGGGAAGCTGCATAATTTTAATAGTCTCCAAAAACTGACATGATTTTTTTTATCAACAGTTAAGGAAGTCCAAAACCACAGCCCTTCCCAGGTTACAGAGTGCTCTACCCGTTTCCAGCTTTCACTTTGTACCACGAAGGATATCTATCAGTCAGCGATTCCACTCAACGCAGTTACAATTTTTATCTCGCCAGCAACTCAATTCCACCTCAGAAAATTCACCACCTGCAAAACTCCCAGGGGCGTTTCCACTCAGAGAACGCCCAGAATCGCTGCCAAAGCCTCCGGCACCAGGCGGCTCCCCCAGCCGGGCCCCAGCCCCGCGCCCGCACCTGCGACACGGCCTTTACCTTGGAATTTGAGGTCGTCCGCAGTCGCCATTCACCCGCCTGCGTGGGGACCCGCTCCCCGGGGCTCGGCCCTCCTGCAAGGGCACAGGGGCAGCGCTGGGCCGGGCGGGTCCCGAGCCCTGCCTGTGCCAGCGCCGCTGTCACCGCGGCCGCGCCCCACGCTGTCCCCGCCCGCCCGTGCTCCCTGCGCTCCCGGCCCGGGCACCCTCACACCGGACACCCCCACAGCGGGGCACCCCCACTCGGGTCACCCCCAACACCCCCCGCGCCCCCCGGCCCGGGGCACCCCCGCACCTCCGCCAGACCCGCACCGGCCCCGCTCCGCGCCCTTAAAGGGGCCGCGGCCGCCGCGCCGCTCCGGCCAATCAGCGCCCCCGCCCCTCGGAGCGGAACCGACCCGTCGCCGCCACGCCCGGTGCCGGCCAATCAGAGCCCGCGCGGCGCTTCCGCGTGCGCCTCCGCCCGCCCCCTTAAAGGGCCCGCGCGTGGCGGCGGCTGCGGGTCCGTGAGTGTGTGCGGGCTGTGTGTGCTCAGATGTTTGCTCGGTCTGTTACAAGCGCACATCACACACTGACATCATTTACATTTTATCATAGACTCACAGAGTGGCTCGCGTGGGAAGGGACCTTAAAACTCATCCAGTTGCAAATCCTCTGCCACGGGCAGGGACGCTTTCCACTATCCCAGGTTGCTCCAAGCCCCGTCCATCCTGGCCTTGGACACTTCCAGGGATGGGGCAGCCACAGCTTGTCTGGGCAACCTGTGCCAGGGCCTCACCACCCTCCCAGGGAAGAATTTTTTCCTAATATCTCATCTAAACCTACTGTCAGTGGGAAGCCATTCTCCCTTGTCCTGTCACTCCAGGCTGTCAACAGTCTCTCTCCATCTTTCTTGTAGGCTCCCTTCAGATACTGGAAGGTCTCAGTTATGTCACTCTGAAGCCTTCTCTTCTCCAGGCTGAACAATCCCAGTTCTCTCAGCCTTTCCTTATAGCAGAGGTGCACCATTTCTCTCATCACCCTGATGGCCTCCTCTGGACTCGCTCCAACAGCTCCATCTCTTTCCTGTGCTGGAGACCCCCGAACTGGATATTATATGTATTGTGGTATATCTACTTTTTTTTATCCTTCAAGCCCCAAAGTGCCAAACCCTGGTGTGTGGCAGAGCCCCAGGGCAGGCAGAGCAACTGTTTGCACAGCACCTGCATCACCCCAAGGCCCTGACCATCAGCATCTTAGTCTTTAGTCTGGGATTCAGGGAGAACATCCCGATTCAGCTCCTTTCAGTAGTAAAATACACTTCTGTTGTGAATAAACCTCACAGCTCTGCAGTGAGCACAACACATCCACCCTTTGCTGCAACTGATGCCTTTGGTGCAGCTGGAGGGAGCATGGCTGGCAGGCTCCTCGCTCATGCAGAGGCTGAAGTGCAGAGTGTGCAAGGAAAGGCAGAAATCCAACTAAACACGTGAACATTTTCCTCCCCGTCACACTCCACCTTTGCCCCTGTCTCTGCTGTGTTCCCATCGGGAGCAGCCAGACCTCCTCCAACACAATGTTCAGCATCAGGATGTTCCTACAGAAAACCCTGATTCTTCTGCAGGTTACTCTGTCTGTCCTTGTTGGCAAAACACTGATGATACTGTTTCCCAACGCCATGAAAAGATACATCCTAAAAATGGGCGAAAAGAGCAGAATGAACAAGAATCCAAAGTTCAGCTATGAAAACTGGGGTCCAACTTTTTTCAGCTTCAAGTATTTGCTGTTTGTGCTGAAGGTGAAGTGGAAGAGGCTGGAAGATGAAGCCTTCGAGGGACACCCTGCTCCCAACACGCCGGTGGTGACCCTCAACGGGGAAGTTCATCACCTCTTGGATTTCATGGGAGGTCAGTAATTGAGCCCTGTCAGATGGGTTTGGTTTGCTGAGACCATAAATGAGGGAACAGGGACAGGCATCTGGCACCAGAACTTTTTGGTAGTTGAGAACCTTTTGCAAGAGCTGGCTCTGCTTGGAAATACCTTTTACTGAAAACCAAGATAATAATTTGTTTTAGGGAGAGAAGTTTCAGAACTGAACCACGTGCAGTGATTCAGGAGTATTGGCTGTTGTTCCCTGTTGAGACAGAAAATCCCACACCAGCTACCTCAGCCAGTCTAAACCCTAGAAAGCACAGGGTGGGTTTTTCCAGATCCAAGGTGGCTGGAAATAAAAGCTGAAGTAGCTGCTTTGTACTTTGTCCGCTGCCTCCCACTGAGACCTCTGTACAACGTGGAATTAATCATTAAGCTGCAGCCTCTGTCCCCACGGGAGGGATTACATCCTTCTCTCTCTGCTTTTCTAATTATATACAGATATTTATGTAGAAAATGGGATGCAAATTTGGAAAGGGATACACAGCATCTACAGGAAGGTACACTTCTAATAAATTCTTCAGGATGTGAATCTATGTTAGCAGCAGCTTTTGAAGTTAAACCCAGCCAGAAGGAAGGTCTTGAACAAATTTCATGTAATTTAGCATAACCAGAGTAAAAGAGGTGCTTAAAAATCCTGCAAGTTCTCTTAAATTAAGGACTTGCAAACAGATGCCAACACCTGTGGGCATATACTATTAATTTGTAAACAACTGCAGACACTTTTGCCAGTGGCTCATGTAACGTTAGCTTAATAAATAATAACATATAACCAGGGTTCTGTTTGAACAGGAAATTACAGAAATACACTGAAAACATGAAAGCCTGTGATGCATGACTGAAAAGTCTGCAGCTTCCCCTCAGCTCAGCTTGAACTGACACCTCTGAAAAAAATCAGGACATGTCCAACAGGCCTAGGAAAAGGCACTACGGCACTGTGCTTTATGTCCATCCCTGAACCACCGTCCTTGGAAAACCTTGCAGATGGGCCATGTTTGTTATTTTTGAAGTTGCTCTGTACTAAGGATCTCAGGGAGGCTGTGCCACATGCTCTGTGCCAGTTCCCTATCCCAAAACATCGGTAACTTGAGAATTAGCTCTTGTGATAAGGAAAAGAGAAGCTGGAAAGGGTTCCCTCAGTTGAACTCGTTGCTGGATGCAGCACAAGTCAGAGCCACAGAAAAGAAAGCATCTTTATGCCTGTTTTATGTAGATGCAGATGTTCTGCTGCTGAATTGAATGAGCTAAGAAGGTTATGGGATAAGTGATTTTGTGTTGTCCAGGAATCTCTGTGTATGCATTTAATTCTGCCCTTCCTGATTTAACCACAAAATGTCCATTTCTTTTTTTTTCCACCTAGATAATCGTCCTTTAATCCTGAATTTTGGAAGTTGCACCTGACCTTCGTTTATGTTAAAATTTGATGAGTTTAACGAGCTCATCAAAGATTTCGGCTCAATAGCAGATTTCCTCATCATCTACATTGAGGAAGCTCATGCAGTAGGTACAGCACAAACAGCACGGTTGATGCCAACAACAGCTTCATATGCGTCATTCCCTTTAGGGAGAAAACGTGTCAGAGCAAAGGAGGGAACTGCAAATGGGAAAGAAACCTTCCTCAAATCCAAAGTGGCAACACCACATCTAGGGACCAGCTTGTGTCTGTAATTCTCCAAAGATTCTACTCACACACTTTACACAGTTACTCCTGCTGAACACACTCAGCTCCGCAAAGGTGAAGGACATAGTTAACGCCTTCACAAAACTTCCTCTCCGTGTTAGTACAGCTCCTTTTGGAAAGGGGAAGAAAAAACATTTCATAGAACAAAGGTTAGGTACGCAATGTCAGCACGTTATGTGTTTTTTTTAAAAAAAAAAAGATTCATTTCTAACATGTCTCAAGAACAGGATGCAGACTCCAATAGAATATATGTTCCCCAACTTGTATCTTTCTAGGGTTGATTTATGTGGGAAAATTTCAGCTAAAATATATAAAATATTTTTGAATCCAGGGCAAGGGTAAAATAGTTTGCTGAAATTAAAGAAAAAAAAATAAATCTTGGGACCACTTATTTGAAAAGCTCCAGTGATCCCATACTCTGAGGTGGGCTTTCATTTCATGGCAAGCTTTGGTGTTAGGAGCAAACTCTGGGAGTTTTTAACCCAGTTTTGGGATATGAGACAGTACATCTCTGCCTTGCACCCATTCAAAGTGCTCTTTGCTAAATCCCTTTCTCATTTGCTTTAGATGGATGGGCTTTTAAAAACAATGTTGTTATTAAAAATCACAGAAGCCTTGAAGATCGAAAAATTGCAGCACAATTTCTTCAGAAAAATAATCCTTTATGTCCAGTGGTTTTAGACACTATGGAAAACGTGAGTAGCTCAAAATACGCTGCCCTGCCAGAACGACTCTATCTGCTTCAAGGAGGGAAAGTCATCTACAAGGTAAAAAAAAAATCAGTAATAATGAGCACAATATGCTAAGACTTTTAAATTTCAAAATAATTTGAGACCGCTTTACATTTATTTAATTCTGTTTGAGAGCTAAAAATTTCACAATTCATTGTAACTATGGAGAGAAATAAAGATCCATCAAAACCAGCCTGGGCTTTTAAAATGTACATATTTGATGTACACCTCAGTCTTGCTCAAATATTTATCTTTTGGCTCACTAGTAACCCTAGGTACGTCTAAGCTGTGAGATCCAGGAACACTTTCCAGTTCCAGGATGCAGACATTGGCCCTATCCCAGTGACGCAGCAGGGTGTAACCTGTGCATACACCATCTCCCAGCGATGGCTGCAGTGCAAAGGGAGCCCAAGCACACCTGCCCACAGTTCTGGTGCAGCTGCTGTGCTCCAAAGGACTTCTGCTCTGACTGCTTGAATATCACTGTGTCATTTTATTGCCTTTGCAGGGAGGATTTGGGCCTTGGAATTACCACCCCCAGGAAATACGTGCCATCCTGGAAAAGCTGAAATAGAAAAAGAAGAAGATTCAGAGTAAAGACTGGATAAAGAAGTTCAAGAACAATTTCTCACAGACATAAGTGTAAAGAAGAAAAAAGAATTAAAAAACAACAAGAGACAACGAGAAAAGGAGTATTTTATGTACCTCTAAAGAGTATCTGTAATGGGGTTCATTACGTTTGTCTAGAGGCTTTCAAGTGTCATCAGTACAGCCCCAACTACCGCTCTGTAGTATCTTACTCCACTTATGCCACAAGCAGTAATGTGGTAACTGGGTCCATTGAGCTCTCATACCATCACTTACATTTGTAAGGACTGGAAACCAACATTTACATTTGTCAGGACTATCCTGCAAGATGAACTTCAGGGGTGGTGACTCCTGCAAGAGTCTTCTGGCATGCAAAACAACTGATTCAACATTACTAAGGTCCTCTTTCTCTTGTATACATACAACTGTTCCTAAACATTCACTTTCACTGATTTCAGGAGGCTTCTGAGCAAGGCAATCTCCACTGACACTTGTTTCCGTGAATATTTGTTATGGCGGCCACAGCATAAAGCACTGAGGGCTGTGACCTGATTCTAGAAAATATTTATAGAAACAAGGGCTTGATCTACAATTATTAAAAGTCTATCAGAGCAATTCATTTGGCTTCATATTATTTCCTTCCCCACCCTGCCCCTCTTCCGCAGGTTATTTCCAAGCATTAGCAGTTTATATTCATCCTTGAGCTGATGAGAAAGTTACCAATTTACGGACTTCTGAAGGACTTGCTTGACAGTAGGAAGCAATACATCCCATTTATGTACTTAACACTTTTTTTTCAATTCAGAGTGCAAGGGAAACATTTTACAGGACACTGAGTTTTAATTCATATGTTAGGAAAGCCTGATATAAATATACTAATTTAAATGGACCCAGTTATGGTCAAGTGTTCTAAACTGACAGTTTAGGTTATAAAATAAGAAAGCTGTTACTGCAATTAATAAGCATGGCACTGTGGTTGGAGTTGATCTTAATACTCTTTTCCAACCTAAATGATTCTATTCTATCCGTACATTAAACCAGCAGGGAACACATACTATATCCGTACCTCCAAAAAACACTTTAATATAAGGTTCCAATAACAAACATTCTCTGCAATACAGCTATCAAAATGTCACTTCAGTACAAAAAAAAATTGAGGTCCAAATTTAAGCTGGACTTAAGCATTTTCTGCTGTGCCCTCTGCCATCACCCGGTGCACTGACACAAAATGATCAAAGGCAGATTTGATGATGAAACGCAAGTAAGTGGCCTGAAATTCAGGAAGCTGCAGAAGGAATACAAAAAAAGTTATTGCATTCTCTGAAGTGCCAAAACTACCAAACAACATTTGCAGAAGTTTGTTAGACAGAGGAATCTAGACACTTCTATATCTGTCTTCCAATTGCTCCAAATGAAGCTCTTTAATAACATCTAGCCAGCTTCAGAGTTTCTTCAGATGATAGCAATTCAGAAAAGTCCCATCACTCCTGAATTCTGCAGCCTTTTAAAGGCAACAGTTGAAGGAGGGAAGATTGCCACACTTCTGGAAAGGGCCCTCCACATAGTTAAGAGCACTAGGCAGGTGCAATTTCATACCATAATCTACAAAGGAGCAGCTGGGAAATGCAATTTCATACCTCGATCTACAAATTCCTCTCTCTAACACCAGCTGAGCATATAATTGTAAATAAACACGTTTGAGGTTTTTATAGTTTCTCCCCACTTAGTCCAGACATCCCATTTCATGATCCATTACTGATGTACACCGTAAATACTTACTGGAAATTCTTCCATTTGGAGCTGTCCTTCTGTGTGTTGCAAATCTAGAAAACATATTTTAAAGCAAATAATGAAGAATGATGTGAAATGCTGTGAAAAGTTTTCACTGGACTCAGAGTTCAAGTGAATTTAAGGACTATGAATTTACACTGCATATAGAAATTGTTCTTTTTTATTTTTACAAGGTGATTTAAGAGAACAAATACTTTTTTGCGTTATCTCAGTGTATATATATATATATATATCTCCTACTCATTACACTGTGTTATAAAATGTCACCCAAGAGGCACTAAAAACCCCAAACAATGCAGGAAATGGCACTCTATTATACTGTGTAAGCCTGTTTTTAATTTTTGGAACATAAAGTGCACAACTAGTGCTTTTAGCCCTTATACAGCATTTTATTTTCCAAACAGCTACAGACATCAGCAGTGTTTATAAAATTCACTTAAACATGACTATTACATTGATGTCTAATAAAATAATCACCAAGCCACACTTCACTCAACAAATAGATGTGGGGTTAAAATGATTAATTGAAAAAGACTGACATTGTTCCCACAAAATCCCTGTTTCTTCAGAGTCTTACCTTTTTCAATGCACTGTTCAAAACCCACAGGGTCTTTAGATATACTTCTTTCAATCCTTAAGGTCCGCACTAAAACATATATAAATTTGAGATATCAACACAAGTTCTGATTCTTTATTGATAATGATATTTATTCCATCACTTTTCATCCACAAAGCACTTCAAAAGCATTAACTAATCCATTCTTCCTCAAACCTATGGAGGTTGTGGACGTGAGAGACGATTCCTTTGTGGAGTTAAATCTTTATGGATCTGTTAAAAAGTGGCTACTTACAGATCATGACACAACTGTGATAATTTCCATAAAGGCAGAGATACACATTTTAATATAGTGCATATTACCTACTGCAAGACACGAAGTCTTACCCAAATAACACTGGATCGCAACTTTGCTGATTTTCACACATTTGGGAAAACCAATAATGAATTCCTGTGGGAACATGCCTGTTGTCGTCCAAAACGTTTCAGAATTCCTGTGGAGACAACAGGACAAAACCCTCACCTGCACCTTTCCATCTATAACCACCTTGAAAGAAATTTATCACAGAAAAATATGGAGGGGAAAGAAAGGGGGAGAGAGGAAAAGCAAGGGGGAAAAGCAAAAGGAAAGGGGGGGG